TCTTTTCCCCATTGGATTTCGGACGCAGTTTATTTCTGAACTTCTCGCGTATGATTTCCCCACTTCCCCATCAACCTCCCTTGGGGCCACACTACCTCGTAGCCCTTCCCCCCGGCGTCTCCCCCAACCCCCCAAAAGACGCCCACACCCGCACGCTATCCCCGCGAAGCTTGAGCCTCAAAGTCATCCCTCCGCTCCCCTCCACGGCACCGCAGGAGATCTCCTGTCCCAAGTCAGTTCCCTTCCTGGCCCGTTATATGACTGAGATGGACTCCAGGGAGGGGGGCTCTGGACGTGTGTGGCACTGCCTGACGTCCAGGTGATGCCGGGGAGGGGAGGCGCGGGTGCTGGTGGACAGTGGGCAGCCTATACCTCTTAACATACACATACACACACACTGTTGTAGCGCGATAGCTACACAGTAATGATGAGCTTATTCAGAAATATGCGAATCAATTATGACTATGAAATCTTCTGAAAACTGACATGGCTGTCAAGGAATCGTTTGTAAGAATTCACCGGAACTGAACATCAAGAATCTGTACGACAGCCTTACCGAAATCCACAACCTTACTGAAATCGTCTTTGCTCACAGAACGGACGTGGGTTTGTTTAGAATTCATATTCTACTCACGTTCGGAGCGCGGTCTTATACCGTGGTCGGGGCAGTGCCGGCCTGAGACATACTTCATGGGCCTGTAGCACTGCACTACACTACAACACACACTCTGTTGGCACGCATGCGCTATGTTTTTCTCTCCGTCCCCTCCATTTTCTGAATTCTGCTGGTCTGTTGATGATCAACCCTCTACTCTCCCCCCCCTCCCTACCCCCTCCCTACCCCTCCCTACCCCTCCCTACCCCTCCCTACCCCTCCCTACCCCTCCCTACCCCTCCCTACCCATCCCTACCCATCCCTACCCATCCCTACCCATCCCTACCCATCCCTACCCCTCCCTACCCCTCCCTACCCCTCCCTACCCCTCCCTACCCCGCACCCAAAGCAAACTCGGCAACAACTCCGAGAAGTCAGCATTCCTGTGGTCCAGTCCCCCTCCCAGCGGACCTCTCGGCACATCTCACAAAGGACACAGTTTTGTGTTGTGTTGCTTGGCGGCGGAGGTGTCGGTGGGGTCGGGTGAAGGAGACGGCTCCCACCCACACCGAGGAGGAGGACAGC